CTATGCGTTTGAAGCGATGAGTACTCGGTTCGAGTCTCAGTGGGGATAATATCACCCACTGGGATGAAGGTGCATCCAGTTGACGAGTTCCAAATAAGACAAAACACGCGTTCTGGATTCCACTGCTAGTCGTCAAGATGAATACAGCTTCTGCACTTCTTAAAATCACTTCCGAGGTAAGGATATGAAGGATTGTAATGGTGTGCCGGCTTCAACCTTATCCGAAACAAATTTTATGAATTTTGACCATCACTTAATGTTTCATACCTATATTGGTTAACATTCAGTGGTTAACCAGTGTACATGAACTAGTGAAGCTAGGGCTCATTGGTTAAGAGAGATGACCCTCAACCAATCGGCCACGGGTTCGAACACCGCTCCATCTACAGAGGTTTGAACAGCTAAGTAGTATCATTAGCCCTCACACAATCTTTGTGTCTCACTGCATACTGCCTGACATAAACCGGTCAATTATGATCAGAATAAGCAGGAAATAAGGCCTCTCACTTCAAAAGTAACTATCATCGAATCCCTCAAAGAATATTATTTTCTTTGAGATTACAGTTATGTCTTTGTGATGATCTGCAATATATGTCAAATCCAAGTCAAGTATTTCTCCATGTCTATTGACATTTGACGTTGAATATAGAACACTAAATTACTGAGTCACTTAATCAAGTGTCGACAGTTTACAATCTGACCGCTTAAACTTCGACCAGTTACATTGGTTTCTACTAGGTGTACAAATGCATATGTTATAGATAAAGGTTTTAGATATATTGGCATTCCTTTAAGAATCCATAAAGATAGTGTAAGACAAAAACTAACTGAAAGTAGAGAAAGAAACAACGGCACTTTTATTTAACTATCCTAAAAACCTCACTGGAATTTTTCTTGGTAAATATAGGAAAAGTGCATACTGGAAAACACAGGATCGAATAAAATTGACAGAACATTCTTAAACTTATCTCCAGTTACAGTAGATATTATCATTTTTGAACGGAATATTGCTAAAAAATGTTTTATCAAGAAATTTTCAACAGAAAATCGCTCAATCATCCCAACGAAATATTATCTCAAGGTCGTGTCGCCCAAAGACTGACATCAGCTGGAGAAGTATAAAAAATCTGAGAGCTCTGAGGGTTTTTTTTGTCCCCACAAACATCCACTTGAACTACAATCCAATGGTGACTGCTAATGGAACTCTTCAAGACGGATTTCCTGGAGTTTTAATGAAAAGTTGTAAACTGTTGGAAATAGAATGGATGCCATTAATTATATTAGATGATGGTTGCATTATATCAGAAATTGATAAAAGTTGGAGAATTAGATCAACAGATTCCAATCCAGTAAGTGAATGGCAACATGCTCACCATGAAATGTGACGGTATGGGCTCGACCCCTAGTAAGGTTGTCGATGAGAACGAATAATCGCTGAATTGTACACTCACTGACTGATCACTGTAGAGAAACTAACTTTTCATGTTGTCTAGTCATGGGTGCTGATCGAACTCCATGGATCATTTCACAATGTAACCACCAAGCTAGGAGACTAGCTGACCATCACGGTGCACTTTGATGGGTGTTAGTTGGTTGGAGGCGATCGACAGAAAGCTCTGCTCGACCTAGGTTTCGTTCTTGTTGGAACTCGTTAACAAGGCATATCTGTGACCTCGAGAGAACTGATATCGCCTGCGAGATTCGAAGTCGGATCACCCGGTGTTGTAGTCAGCTTCCTAGCGTGGTGGTCACATTGTAAAATGATTGGTAGAGCTCGATCAGTACTCAGAAGGACTAGACAACATGAGATCGGGTGCTCTCCAGTGATCAATCAATGCATGCAATCCAGTTCTCTACAGTAGGTCAATCGTGGCCCGAACAGTGGGCGGAACATCAGTTCTGTGGAGGTTGTAGATACGCCTTGCTGACGAATGTCAACAACAAGCATGAAATCAAGATCTAGAGCTTCCTACCGATTGCATCCAACCAACTAACCTAAATAGTGCATTATTCAGATCAGTGTACAAATGGTTTTGCAACTATTTTACACTGATTCAATGCTACCAAAACGCCGAAATGAATAAGTCTGATTATAGACAACACGTAACTCTATCTACTACACTTACTGGATAAAGAAATAGTTTTTCTCAAACACTAGTCTATTAGATGCTTTCAAGCGTTATAATGCCAGTGCATGCGTAATTCTCTATGCTTATGATATAACTTGATTAGTCATGAGAATAGACTAGAGAGAAATAGATTTGTCAGTTTCACCCAAATAATTATGATTAACCAATCTGTTTGTATATTGATAATGACGACAACAACAAAAAACGAAACAAAGTATATTAACTACACAAGAATTATTCACACTGTGAAAGCATAGACTAAGGATTTTATTCATGCAAAAAGAAAACAAGGCTGAAAAGGCAACTTGGCTAGAACAAACGGATTAATTCGCTTTCACAATACAGTAAGGACGGTATGCTAATTGCATAAATCACCATTATTATTAGACAAGCAAAACTTTATTAAAATACATCTGTGCCTACCACGAGAACTCATGACCAAAATCAACAGAATGGTATAAGTAAATACAACCATATTTTTTACATAGTTACAATATCTGGAATCTAACCAAACACACCACTATGCATTTAGAACTATTACAAAGATAGTAAGTAATAAGAGAATAATGAGGTCAGTCACTTGTGCCACTGGACGGTTAGGTAGATTACAAAAACAAAACGCCAAACATAGTAGTTGAATCCAATGAATACCACCACTTCTAGGAGTTGAAGTCCGTTAATCTATTTAATTCCAAGCTGAAATCGCCTTAGAAATTGGAGTACATGAGATCCATGATCTGAAGTTTATCGTAAATGGTTTGAGCAATGTAATTGCTTCCATCAATCTTTGACATTGCAAAAGCGTAACAAAACACCACATATATAATGGTTGCATATGCCATGAAGGATTATTCAAACAGTAATACTAACAAACAGTGAAGCAACTGAACGGTATCCTTGGAGCTACTTTAAAAAGTACCTATCATTAAATTGTCACTGGTATTTCGGTGGATGCAGGCCGGGGGCTGGATGTAGCATCAAAGCAAATGTGAATAATAAATCAGTGATGAAGTTTACACCCAAAATGAGAAGTCACTCATCCCTCTTTTCGTTCTCTGTCTACTAACATAATTTCTTGTAGCCCTAATCGGTGTGTAATCATAAAAATAAACACCTAAGTTTCAAAATGGAAACAAAGTAGTACAGTTGATAATGATGAGGATAGTGGCTAACTGCACAATCAAGGAAGTGCGTTTCGTCCTAATTGGGACTCATCAGCTGGATATATTTGCCTTACAGTGAATATAATGTTGTTTCCACTAAGACACGAACCCATGACCAATCTTTTTGAACGCCAAGGTGTTACCAACTAGGCCACTCCTTGTACAACGGGTATAGTATATTTTGATTACATATTTTATAGGCTCCCATCGTTGATTGGATCAAAATGACCAGCCGAAACTGAGTATAAAGGCTCTTGTAAAGATGCCTCGATATTGTCAGTATTTTCAATTCTTCATCCTCATGACACTAGTCGACTGCATGAGCATTAATATCAATAATTGAAAATCCTGACAATATCAAGGTATCTTCCACAGGAGCCAGTAGTGCCCGATCACTTCCGTTCAATTAATAATGGATGTCTACAAGCTACAGCATCAAAATGTAATGTACTGCCGCAAAATACATTACTGCGTCGACAAGCTGTATGTTTACTGTTTGCATCCTACACCTGCTTTGTTCTACCTTATATTCAGTTGTGAGCTTCTATGAAATCGTTATAAAATAGATTCTTTAAAGTTACCCATTATTGTGTGATATGACTCAGCTTCTGGTGGCCTGTTTGAACCTTGAGCTACCTAAATTCTACATCGAATATATTAGTATCAAATTGTTTCCTTTCAATTTGTTTTAATCATTTGAATACATCTCATGTACTCTCGCACATTTTTAAAATGTTTCAAACTAACCGTCTTTCAAGTTAACGACGAAAAGAAGAAAACACGTCATAGTAAATAAAATAGACTTTTAAATGTACAAAAATGCATCATATTACTATTCCTAGGATTCCAGATTCTTGTACTGGGTGAATGAACTAGACCAAACCAGATGCTAATCTAACGCCAGCTGGCTGTTTTACATCATGCTGTTATTATTAACGTTATTCACATGCAATAATTCTTTCGTTTAAAAATATTGTACTGGAAATAAGTGTGTTGAAATATTACAACATACTGAGAATTCTATACTGTATCCAACATAATGTTTGGAATAAAGCGACAATTATTATTGGGAAGAGAAGTCCTGACTAGGCAGTAGTAACGCGTTACGAATTCACGTTATAGTCGGGTGAAACCCATGGTGATTGAGTTGGAATAAAAATCTGCTTACCAGTCGGGCCTCGTAGCTTAATTAGTATAGCATCTTACCGGAAACCCGGTGGCCGCTGGTTCGAATCCCACTGCAGTCCAAATTTTCATTCCACCTTCAATCATCACACAGCATTATTATTATCCGCTAAAATAAAAAAAATCATTTAGGTGTTGGTCCCACACATCCTTCTAATAAACTTGCACTAAGAAGATCACTTATCCTTTGAAACAGTTAATTGTTTTCTTAAGCCTAATTGTATGTAATGTGCATTGAACATTCAACAAGGTAGAAATATTATATCTTAAAATACTGACAGATCCCCTAAAAATATATCATAAATCCCCCCCCCAACCCTAACCCATCTCCTCATGCACGAATAGTAAACTTGATGATGCTTAGGGAACAAAGATTAAGACAACAGTCAATACAGTGGAGGACTGCTTTCTTCATCAGAAACATATCTCCCGCATACAGTTGTGGCAAGCTTAGTCTGTGTGAAATACTACAAGTTTAATTATAAAAATGACTTTTCGAGAAGAATCAAAGCATTTCACTTACTCAACACTATAGGATGCAGTAGGAAATAAAGAAGCTTGACACTGATCGATTGCATGAGTAGAAGCTGTAGGCGGATATGACCGTGTGATATCAGGATACCCAGTCACAGGCAAATTTGAATGCATATACAATGAAGAAATGGGTTCATCTTGATTTGAATCTAAATTATACCGCAAGACATTTCGTGTACAGTGAGAACTGTAATCATTGGTAGGATGTTGATGAATACTTGTATTGTCATTCGAAGTTGCATTACTTGAAGATATTGCTGAATAAAACTGATCACAAACTGATGATGAAAGAGATTGAAAAGAAGCAGCAGCCACTGCAGCTGCAGCCGCTGCGGCTGGATAGACAACAGACGCAGCGGGATGATTTACAGAGTATCCAGAAGTCATAAAAATACTCCCGGAATTCGTAGTCAACGGAGGAGGTGGAAAAATAGGCGAGGCTGGATTTGAAGCAGACGGCGGTATCATCGAAGAAGGATATGACATATTTGAATGATTAAATAAATTACTAAAATCAGAGTGAGCATTTGTCATGTAATGATAACTTGAATATGGAGCACCTGTATTATTTATAGTCATGAAATTCATTTGATCTGTGGAACCCACTGATGATGATGATGATTGAGGCACTACAAAGAAAAAAAAGTGCAAAATATATTGTAGTTTGAGGTTTATGAGGATTTTACTTTTAAGGTTGTATTGATCATAGACTAACATCAATTGGGGAACCATTGAAAACCCGGGAGTAGTAGGCAGCTATTTCGTCATGGTATAGGACTCCTGACCAGTACGCATCTACAACCCCGCTACGGATCGAACCCAGGACCTTCAGATTTCACTAAGTCCCATACAAGAACTAGACAGCTGTTTAGTGCTCCCAGTTTTTCAATGGTTCTTCGTGATGAATACTACCCTAAAAACAAAATGCACACCACTTGCTTATAGCGCCAAGTATCGTCTATTGAACTAGATAAGTTGATACAAATCTGGGTACTGTATAGTGAAGTTACACAAACTCCGTGTCTAAAGAAGAACATTTCACTGGAATCAACGTGTCAAGTTCCAATGACTGATTGCTGGCCATATCCACACTACTTATAGGTAATTTCACTGTAAGGAGGAAAAACGTTTCCAAAATTCTCATTAACAGTGCAATATTGTTATGAAAAAGTATTTCTGCTATAAAGTTGTCCTTAACTACAAAATATGTTACACAGGTAACGTATGTAACGAGCACTCAACGAATAATCCATGTCAATAATTTAAACATTAAGAAAATTTAAGATTCTTACTTTATATATTTGTCTCACGTAGACATCAGATATCCTAACTTAATATCTCTAATGTTACTACTTGTAATTTCCCGTCGTTGATTGGACCGAGTTGATCGGTCTCTGTTGACATACGGAATCCTCTGGAGATGCCTCGATATCGCTTGTAGTTTAAGTTTAGTGGTAATGATGTATAGTAGTGAGTAATGAAGTCAAGGACACGCGTTTCCTCCTATTTGGGACTCAACAGCTGGATGAACCTGTCGCCCAGTGAGCGATGTTTTCCCAACTGAGACTTGAACCCAGAGCTGATCACTTCAAACCCAAGAGCGTTATCCAGTAAACTACTGGGTCACGATATATACTATATATATAAGCTTAACAAATTTTGGAGAGTAAAAACAAGAAACTTATTGGTGAGTAGAAAATAACCATGTACAGTCCATGTACAGACCTAACCGTGATCCTTCTCAAAAGTTATTGAGAATCTCTCAAACAGATACTTCTTTTGTAGGTTCTATTGATCTATTCAAGTAGGTGACCAGTTTTGAGGCAACCTGAAAAACTTGACTGCTTGAACTGAGTTAATTCAGGAAAACAGCTGGTGAGCTCTGTTGCAAATTAATGAAAACGTTCATCCAATTTTTAGATCACCTTTAGCTAAAAAGTATTATAAACTGACATGAGCAGCCTTTATCTATGCATATCAGTCAGACAGTAGTATAAATTTGTGGGATCAGGAGAATTTTAAACAGAACAAGAGCCTATGTTTCAAGTTTTTGGTCTCTTGTTTATGACTAGTTAACATGAGATCTAGTGAAGCCATGGTAATAAGTTACTTACCTCAGTGATCACAACAACGAGCAAGCTGACTGATAGACTTAAGTCATTATATAAGACTAGAGTATCACACTAATCACCACCTTGTGATTGCTTCGTCGAGGAAACTTGTTTATGTAGGCACTTGGTTGCAACTCCACTGAATCAGAGTTAGTATCTTTGATTACCGCAGTTGATGACCAGAACTGGAATCTCAGGATGAACGAGAATGAGTTTTATCGAAGCTGTGAATATGCTAGCCAAGAAAACTATTTCTAAGGTGTTTGGTATCAATCGATGATGGAGCTTACGATTATTTAATGTGAAAACAGTGCACCGTAGCGCTTTTCCACATAAATCAGTGGATACATTTCACACTCAGTCGAAAACTCACGGCCAACGCTCAGTTCATTAGTTATCAACACAAGACCTGGAATAACTGCGTAACAGTCAAAGTTTTCACACCTCATATCGCTGCATCAAGATTCAAGACGATAAAATGAAAGGTAGAGGGATAGAAATAATAACAGTAAACGCAAAAGTCACACAACAAAGAGAACAGGAGTTAAATCTAATACCGAAATGTGATGTTTGAGTGAATCTCAAGATAAAGTATGCATGTATATATGCCACTGTGTTCGATTCTGAACCAATTCACCTAAAGTGACTAACCACAGATTTCAGATATCCTAAGAACCCTGATTAGGCAACCAACATTACCTTGCACAGCTCAAACTAACAGTCAAAGACTTTATGGACTGACGTCACATCCTGATCTGGTCACCCTTCGCTTTTTCACCAACCTAACCCTTGTTCAGTTAGCATTGGGGTGGGGGTGGGGGGGACATATTGACTACGCATCCATAACACAGGTCCCAACCATCTCACTCAGTGAATATTGGTAGTACCAACTGACTTGTCTCCTTTACTTATGACTATCCGTGTAACCTATAAGATAATCGCGCAGTGTTTTCGCGAAATGCCGTTGACAATACAAAGACAGTGGTAGCCAAACATGTGAAGCTTTCTTATACCTTGCACCTTCAATGATCATTTCTCATCGTCATGTAGTAGGACAAAGTGAACTCCTACATAATATACTCGACTCTTAGAAAGCGTTCGTGCTGACATTTTGTCGGACACTGAATAACCAGGCACGGTCTTATTTTCCGAGTACATGAAGCGATCACCGTGCTCAATAACTTCACTTCCTAATTTATATTAATGATGGATAGTGGCTAGTAGTGGAATCTAGGGAGCGTGTTTCATCCTATTTAAGACTCATCAGATGGATGCACCTGCCTCCCAATAAGCGATGTTGTTCCCACTAAGACTCGAACTCGGAGCCGAACGCTTCCAACACGGGAGTTATCCACTAGGTCACTGAGTTGCGGAAGCTCGGCAGCCCATATGCCAATAGAGATCGATCAGTTCAGTCCAATCAACGACATGATAATACAAGTAACAATATATTCACTCCCTATTGTTTGGCAAGGTAGTAAGGTAAACCAGTCCTGAAACAACTATTTGTCCACAAGAAAAAAGAGCATTCTCAAATCTTCACTCACTTTTGCCACCTAGCCAGACTAAACTAATCGCGCACACTAGATCGATACAGGAAGCTCTTGACAGGAAATCAGTTCCTGTGAAGTCAGACGGAAAGAGGGGAAGCTCCTTAAGGATATCTATGGCAAAGTTGAATATAAATATTAAAAAATGGACATCCCTGATGGATTAAATAATTTACTACATAGTCCAACACCCCAGTGATCAATTTTATACAGAACGTGTCTACACCAAGAATAATTTAGCCATTCTAAAACTATTTCTAGTTGTCTTACCAAGTATTTCTTGAGTCAATTTTTAGTTACTTGGCTAATAAGAATGTTGACTATATTGCTTGAAGGGGTTGAAGGCGAATTCACAAAGCTAAAGGCTAGTAAATAGTGGAGAATAATGTTCTGGTAACAATATGATGTTTTGAATCCAACTCATTTGAGTTCTTGATGACATCATCAACCAGTTGAGCATTTATTAATGAACAATATTTGTGTATTGGCAAAACAACTACTCTTACTTAATGATCTAATCAGGACGTGCATTTATAAAATAGCGGTCATTACTTAGCGTCTGGGGATAACGAAGATCGGTGGTCATCCGAAACACTGGGTTATATGACAGATAGATAGACAAAATCAACTTTGCACACAAGTGCATCACCTCAAGTCGTCACACTTCACAGCAGTACACAAAGAACAGGTAGGAAGAATAAGAATGATACCAAGGCAGATAAAGTTGTGTGAGAGAATAAACAATTTCAAGATAAAGCATAGGGAAAATATTCAAGCTTCGGAAGACATGAAGGAGTGAATACATCTGGGTCATTGTGATAGATCTTCAACCATATCACCAAGAGTCCTCAACCATTGATTCCGATCGCCTCAAGGACTCAAGTCAAGTGGTTTTCATCTCCCTACATGGTTAAGACCAACAGTCATATATTTCATCGACTGGTACCACGTTTTGGTGTGGCCACCTTGAACCCTGTTCTAACTTAATTCAACTTCCCCTAGAGTAGTACGTCAAGGCAAGCGGTGGCTCAGCACACGTAGTACATGTCCAATCCATCCAATCCAACCTCATTGATCGACTTGCCTGTCTTGCTGAGTACCCTTCGCATGATTTCAACATTTTTCACACGGTGATTCCACAAAACACAAGCAATGCTACGAAGACACCTGTGATCAAAACCCCATAACCGCTTCGTGATATGCATTAAGACTGATGTTACTGTCAAAGATACTTACATATATTCTCATTCTAACCAATGAAAATGTTATTGCTTCAAAACAGAGGAAGCGTTTCTAAATTGGTTTTCTTGTATGGACTACTACTTTACTGGGAGTATATTTATAGTCAACTTTTTTTATCATTCACACATATGTGAGAAAACAAAACCTCAGTAACAGCAAACACTTCTTCAAAACACCAATAGCAAAAGATGAAGAAAACACAACCCAAGTGATCACAAGGGTCAAGATATATGAATTTAATAATTTACTCAAATGACTAGAAAAGATGCACTAAATTTGTGTGAACCTAAGAAATATCAAAAAGAAATACCTTTGGTGGGAACAAACACATTTTCAAAGATATATTGTGTACATTTCTTTGGGAGGAGGCAGTCGGTAGGGAAATAGTACAAACTAATGCCTTTGTTAATGCACTAGGAAAACACCTAGTGTATGCATATACGCACAAAACCGAGCCTGTATATACACTACCTAGATATTCCATCACGTCAAAAGAAGAATTATGTTTGCTATACACAAAGCATAAAGAGAAAAAAGATAGAAGTCTAGTCATTTAAACAAATCTTGTCATACGTCGTCTATGTGAAAATATGCGTGGTCAGGGCATATTCGTAGAAGTGAATGAACCACCCTCCCTCCTCATGTACGTTCGTCCATGGGTAAACCCAGACACTGACGCTAAAGGTACTACTACAGTAAACAGCAACTTGGGTGCTTTATCTTATTTTTAGAAATGCGAATAAGCCATGAGAAGCAAGCAAGTATGCATGCATATAATGTGAGCGGTTAACTTCTGGAGGAAAAAGTGGAATGTTATTCTTTTTTCTGTAACAAGAAACAGAAACAGGATAAAAGTGGGAAGTAAAAGAATTTTTATTGAAAATAAGGCGACTATATTCCCAAAGGTCATCTCACTAACTTGTAATGAAAAATGGTTTACTAAAGTAGTAGAGATACAAGAACAGCAACAAGAACAATAACAGAGAAAACATGCTAGAAACTTGAAGAATTACTTGCCTTCTGAAATATTTTCTTCTATGAATTGTGTATACTGAATATAAGACGAAAATAACCACACATGTTTCTTTCGTATTTCCCTTTGAAGTAAGTACTGTCAGACTTTCTCTCTCACACACATACATATATCAGACAAATATAATGATGGTATTAATAACCATAATTCCAATAATAATAATAAATTAGATGGTCTATAAAAGGATTTGTAGAAATCAGCCGAAAATGTTTTATGCCTGGGAAAACTTTAACATCCATATTTTTAGAGTTAAAATTTAGGAGACCATTTAAGGCTGTAGTATAAAACATCCCAAGGAAACAAAAACAAATGGTAGACGTATGCAACATATCTCAAGTAAACTCCTATTTGTAATGAATGCAGCGGAACAGATACAGTGTATTAGCTTAACTGACTAATGATATGCTGAAAATAAGGCCCAATTAGTAGTAGAAGACAACTCTTGAAGAAAAATACCCTTATCACCTTGACTGACATTCAGCCAAGAAAGAAAAAGAGACATATGCATTTTGAGTAATTGGTGATTAAACTGTGTAGCTTACTTGCTAAACTGATCATCCATGTGATCTGATTAGGTTAGGTTTGATCCTGACTGAGTTTGTCGAATCACACTGATGAGGAATCCCAAGCCACCGCGAAAAAACCTTCCTGTATTGCTCTGTCAACAACAGTTCTCTAGTATTGACTTCTCATGAAAAGTGACTCCGAGGTAATTTGAAAAGAAGAGACTTCTTGAATGACATGATATTTAGAATGTGAACCTAAGCTAAACGCTTACAGTACTGAAGCGCTGATTACACTGAAAAACGTAAATACTGAGATAAACTATGCAAATGACTGCGAAGATGTAGAAATGAAAAGCACTCATGAAATAAAAAAATGATACAGTATTTCCTTGTCTGTCACTTAGACAAATGGACAAAATCAACATAGAACATTTCAAATAAGTGAACCGGTTCAAGTTGCCACAATTCACAGCAGCATACAAAGAAAACGTGAACAGAAAAAGACTAATATCAAAGTAGACAAAGTATTGTGAGAAAACAAATGATTGGAAGATAAAGGTTAGTGCTAATGTTCAAGCTTTAGGTGTCGAAGAGTAAATCCACCTGAGCCACTGTGACTCATTTTCAGTCACGTCACCAAGATTCCTCAACCAATGATTCCTAACGTCTCAGAGACTGTACCCAGTTAGTCTACATCTCCTAACACAGCTCATACCAATCGTCAGGGACTTCATCGACTGGTGCTTCGTCTTGGTCTGACCACGCTGAACTCTCTCCGCACCTAATCCAGCCTCCCCTGACATGGTATGTCAAGGTAAGCAATGGCTCGGTATGTGCAACATATCCCTAAGTCACTTCACTCGATGAAGGTTCATAACCACATCAATCGACTTGCCTGTCTTGTCTGGAACCCTTCGCTGGTGTCACCTGCAGCTATAATATTCAATAATCGTAATACATTGGTCAGTCATTGAATAATGAATAATATATTCTTCAGTTCTCACTCGTGATTGAATTTGCAATGTGATCATCCATCTATATATGACTGACCGTACTGATGCAGCATATTTGTGATGCAGAATGACTGAATCAACTAAAAAGAAAGCTTTATCACTAAGTTTCAAGGATGTTGCCAGTCATGTAGTAAAAATACTTGCCACTTCAAGCAACATCATGCTACTATTCGTCATAACACTGGCAAAGTCAAACATACTATCAATACGTTATCTGAGCCGTAACTAACCTTTCATCAGAAGGTGATATACTCGAATAGATCAATGAATGGTAGGTAATACTATAATTGTGAGTATCAGTCGACTTTCATCAACCATATAATGTTTAGTTGAGTGGTTTTAATAGGCTTCACCAGGTGACATTAATTATATGACAAGCAAAAACCAGGAACCAATAAACACCTGTTTTGTCAGGACTTTGCACCCAAAACTGTAGTCAGTATCAAACCAAGTTTAATATACAACATGTGACTACTCAATCACTATTTGGGAATCCAAGGGTCCACAATTTCCTATTTCCATCAAGTACCAATACAGCGTAACCAATATCTAATAAAAGTTATCCGGTGTTTTCACATATTATTAGTCGGTTCACGATGCCAGTGCGAACAATCGATTTCTAAATATCAAAGGAAGTTAACTGTACAGTAATAACTGCTAGGATTTTCAGTAAATGCTTTTAGCAAAACGCACGTATATATTCATGTATCAGAATTGTAAACCTCTTTCTACTGACGAAATATACCTATTTATTCGTTTAAAAAGAACAAGGCATGTATCAGTAAAGAAATATTTCTTTGAACGACTTCATTATCAAATTGTACAGTCGTATTTATATTTGCTAAAGTGACAGATAATCGCACTAAAAAGTTGCTCAGTCAATATGCAAAATATACAATCGGTGTAGGTGGTGGTATTTGTTCAAGTGGGAGAGGTAGAAAATGGGTCACTGAAAAAGGAACGAATTTATAACAAGTGGTGAGATAAGAGACAAGACAAGTCCATCCATCCATCCATCCAGATCAACCTAGGACCAGGCATTACTGCGTAACGGTCCGAGTTGCTACACCTCATATCAGTACATCAAGTAAAAAGGCAGTGAGGTGTAAGATGAAGATAAGAGAATGCAGTCAAAAGAAATATAAAGTATGAGAAGAGAGAAACGAAGAATGACAAAATGGTGAGAATCGGTGTAGTGTTAAGATGAGGATACATCTGCGCCACTGACATCGGTTCTCAGCCATGTGATCACCCAGAGTCAGTCTCCAACCACTAGTTCCTCTTGTCCCGCGGACCCCAACCAACTAGTAGTCTGCGTCATCGCACATGGTTCAAACCAACAATCGGAGACTTCATACACTAGTGCCATGTTTTAGTCTGGCCACCTCGGGCCTTTTTCCAGCCTGGACCTACTTCAGCCAACATTGTGTGACGAGGCAATCGATGACTAGGCATACTTAACACGTGCCCCAACCATCTCAATCGATAAAGGTTCACAACCTCGTCAACCGACTTACCTCTACTCCCTAAGACTCTATACCTGATGTCTGCGTTACTCACGTGGTGACACCACGGAATACGGCCTATACTACGAAGGCAAGGGTGGTCAGACGCCTAAAGCCTTATCATGTCTTCCACCTTCACTGGTCATGTTTCATAGCCGTACAGTAGAACAGACTGGACTGCTGTGCAGTATACGCGACCCTTAGTAGACAAACGTATATCACGGCGTCGCCACAGGTGGCGTAAGTTGGCAAAAGCCAATCGACCCATCTGGGTCACTTTTTAATATCAATTTATTTCTTATTCATTGACCTATTTCATATGTTTCAGCTTAATTATCACCGTTTTACAATTTTTTGACGACACTTATCTCTTAGTGTTACGTAGGCCTAGTCATCGATTGCCTCGTCACACAATGTTGGCTGAAGTAGGTCCAGGCTGGAAAAAGGCCCGAGGTGGCCAGACTAAAACATGGCACTAGTGTATGAAGTCTCCGATTGTTGGTTTGAACCATGTGCGATGACGCAGACTACTAGTTGGTTGGGGTCCGCGGGACAAGAGGAACTAGTGGTTGGAGACTGACTCTGGGTGATCACATGGCTGAGAACCGATGTCAGTGGCGCAGATGTATCCTCATCTTAACACTACACCGATTCTCACCATTTTGTCATTCTTCGTTTCTCTCTTCTCATACTTTATATTTCTTTTGACTGCATTCTCTTATCTTCATCTTACACCTCACTGCCTTTTTACTTGATGTACTGATATGAGGTGTAGCAACTCGGACCGTTACGCAGTAATGCCTGGTCCTAGGTTGATCTGGATGGATGGATGGATGGACTTGTCTTGTCTCTTATCTCACCACTTGTTATAAATTCGTTCCTTTTTCAGTGACCCATTTTCTACCTCTCCCACTTGAACAAATACCACCACCTACACCGATTGTATATTTTGCATATTGACTGAGCAACTTTTTAGTGCGATTATCTGTCACTTTAGCAAATATAAATACGACTGTACAATTTGATAATGAAGTCGTTCAAAAGAAATATTTCTTGTTCTTGTTAAACCTCTTTCTAACGAGAAGTCATTTATACCGGTATTGATCTCACCTACGAATATCTAACTTGAAAGTAGAAATCTCATTCTATCGGGATATATAAGCCAAGCTAGTACTTCTACAACGGCTAACATTTGAAAATCAGAACATAAGTTTTTGAATACCTACGAAAATTTGAACAAGGCCGGCAATTATTACCACTGGGTCTTTCATTGTCAGGCATTCAGTAATCCTGTCTACATTAATACGCTTAAGCATACGATAATACAAATTTAACAATTATGAATGACAGCCGGTTGAAGTGATTGAGACAACCAGCCATTACTAACTCTAAACTTTGACCATATATATAAAAAGCTCACCTGGAATTAAATAATACGCCCACGAAATTCCATGCATCTGCCTTATTCAAGTGCCACTCTTCCTATTCCACAATCTGATAATGGATGTTAGTTAACACTGTCCTATTGTATTGGCTCAATAGTAGCTACGCAAATCAATATCACATGACTAAGCGAGTATTTAATTAACAGATACGTAGTATTTTGTAAAATGCATGAGATAAGCTTTCCACCAACGCATAAATCAATGAGAGTGACTGAACTTAGACGGTCTTGATCTCACTGACCAACCAAAAAATTTTGTCCGTGCTAAAGAATGCGTCATCTTTACATCACCTACAAAGCGTCAGGCAAGTCAACAAAAAATTCAAACGAACTCAGACCTTAATATATCTAAGCCATCAATTTACGTGCTGTTCGAAGGTAAATTAGGGTTTATACCATTCAATGGCTAGGAATTTAGTGATCCTGCCATCGTATGGAGACTAGTTTTAACAGGTGTGAATAACTAAGTAAGTAAAAACCTACTGGTCTCTAGTTGATATGTTTCCTAATGCATCTAAGCCATGTACGTCTAGTGATTATCTACAACTTCATCTATGGAAAAAATCAATCAATTTACTTCAAATTGCCTGTAATTTTGTTCAATAATATTTCAAAAAATATCTTGGATGTGTTCATCATCCAACTTGGATACACTAACTTAATTCTACTTTTCGGACATACGGTTTAGAGTCGTGTTTTTCTCCGGTGTTACAATTAGATCTATGATATACTACTACTGAACGACTCGAGTAGTTAGAAACCACTCAGGCTGATCTGTAGATGTAATCGGCCTACGAGATCAGAGTGATCTAAATCTACAGATCAGCCTGAGTGGTTTCTGTCTACTCAAGTAGTTTAGCAGTAGTTCATGAAACTTTTACGTCAGAGATCACGCACTGGGATCTTGGCTAGCAGGCAGTTCTCAACGGAAATCATTATCGGCACCACAGTTAAGCCGTTGAAGAACTACTCAGCTGTAAGAAATACTTACGTGAATCACGCAATTTTTAAATCATCATTTTGACTACCTGAGATAACTATGGTTTGGAAACTATGATTGACACTGGGTGATGATGAATGAAGGTGAAATAAAAATTTGAGCCGCGGGAATATTTGAACCAGTGACCATCAAGTTTCCGGTTTAATGTTCTACCAACTTGTAGCTCAGTTGTTTCTTAATCTAACTGACAGTTTCCTTACTTTTATATCTATAACAAGTCATAATTAAACGATAAAGTGTAATTCAAATGAAGAAGTCTATATTTTGTTCATCATGGTTTATGTTCTTCTTGATTTAGGTATAATTAATATAAAAATGAAATTATACTTCTATACGTCTTCATGTGTTTGATACAAGGCAGCTGCTATCGCTATTCCAATCCGTTTGTCTCAATGGCCATGTTTGATTGGAACAACCCAAAGATTTCTAAGGACTAGGCAAGGTGTTATTGATACTGGGTGATGATGACTGCAGGTGAGACGGAAATTGGGGACGCGGAAGGATTCGAACCAGTGACCACTAGGTTTTCGGTTCAGCGCTCTACAAAGTGAACTACGACACGCTACTGCTGACCAGCCTTTTTCATTTCACTTTAATCACCAAGGGTTTTGCCCGACTGACATGTGAATTCCTGACACATTTCTATCACTAGATCGTATTCACACTGGCTGCCTAATCAGGACTTCCCATTTCAACTCAAATCTACTTGAATTAGAGAGGGGAAGCACCACATTGTTTATCACTTTGACTATCTGAGATGGCTGTGGTCTAGCAGACTTGTATCGATACTGGGTGATGACTGATGGTGAAATAAAAATCTGACCAGAAGTCGGGCCTCGTAGTTCAGTTGATAGAGCACCTGGCCAAAAACCCAGTGGCTGCTGGGTCAAATCCTGTCTCGGCCCAAATTTTCATTTCATCTTCCTTCACGACCCAATATATGTACATATCTTTCAATCAAAAGTGGATTGTCTACAGACTAAGTCAAAAGATACATATCCACCCAAACTCTGTTGAACTTTTATAAACACTCAGAGTGCTATATTTTATGTAAACTTCATGAATTAAGGATATGAGAAACCACACTTCATTTCAGAACAGTTTGTTTAAGGGGAAACTGCACATATTTAGTAAATACAATTACTATTTCTGACAACTTGCCGTAACTCATAGATAACAGTTTTCAATAGTCATGAGTATTGCACATGCCTATGTCTCCTTCGACGAAACTCTTCCAAGTCATGTAGAATCAGGGTAGTAACGCCTCAGCCAAGTAATAGTCAAATGTATCGTTAAAAAATTGTGAACATTCACTGAAACATCACAGTCAATGCGATAGTAAATGCGAAATTGTTCGAATAGCACTCCAACTGAACAATTCCAAAGATCAGATCAAATAATCCAGCATATCGGAAAGCTATTCAAATGCCTCACCAGGATTATATCTAAATTCCAGTTCAAGAGTGCAGCCTGGCAAAATGCTGAATACCTTCAGCAGAAAAGATGAATCGAATACAAAGCATTATTTACACAATCTCAGAGATGCATATCTTATACAATAAAATATTTTCAAACAAAGATAGTGTGTAGCATGCAAAGATTACTAGTGTGATTTTCATTTGACTATCTGAGATAGCCGTAGTTTGACAGACTAGTGTTTATACTAAGTGATGACTGGAGGTGAAATGAAAATTCGGACCGTGGTCGGATTCATACCACCTACCACTGGGTTTCCGGCCTGATGCTCTACCAACTGAGGTACGAGGTCCGACTACTGACCATATTTTTATTTCACTTCAATCACCATGGGTTTTTCCTGACTACCATGTGAATTCGTGATGCGTTCCTAT